GGTAAACGGTCTGAGGACTCAAATTATTTCCACAGACAGGTCGGCAAGCACAATATCAAGCACACAACCAGCAATAACCAGGCAGACGAGGAGATAAGGCCCCACAAACAAAAACCAGCAGGAATAACGGGCAAGATGAACAGACTCACGGGGGTTCCCGACACTGGAGTTGACAGACACTTTAAAATAATTGTGTTAATTACGTTCAAGGAGATGCGTAGCTGAGACTGGGGTTTTAGCAGCACGGGACACCCCAGAAGAACCAGTGGACCTGTGCGTGACGCCCATATCTAAAAGGTAGGAACCCCGCGGAGAGAACGGTATTATTGAAGACGACTAAGGGGAAAGTTGGTGAGCTGGAGGACGGTTCAGGGAAAACATCCGGAACGAAGCACGCAGACGCAGAGGGGAAGGAGAGGCGGAGGAGAAGTGAAAGACAGAAGGAAGCAGGAAAGGTGTAACACACATGTGACCGGAGCTCTGGAAGGAGAAGAGGGAGGACGGAGCAGAAGCATCTCTGAAGTGGTAACAACAGACAGTTTCCCCCAAACTGAGGGTGAAACAAAATACTACTTTCAGCCACAGATTCACCTAGAACCTCGGGCAGGATAAGCATCTTAGACACTGACAGAGAACTAGCCATAAGCCCAGGAAAAGCTGCTCCCTGATCAGTTGTCAGGGAGATACGAACGGAAAACTGTAATGGGAGGCTCCTTCATGAGCGCTATGGGGGCGAGAATGAAAAAGACTGGCAGCTGTAAATACTGAGGACGGCGCTGAAATGCTGGAAGTTGCAGGCGTTTCTGAAGGGAGTGTAGAACAGTACAACCACTCTGGAAAACGGGTTGGCAGTTTCTGAAAAGGCGAAACACGTACCTAACCCATGACCCAGCAGTTTTGCTCTTAGGGACCTACCCAAGATAAACAAAAACATACTTCCAGGAAAGGACTTGTACGAGATGTTCGTACGTCTGTATTTATAATAGCAAAAACTGGAAGCAACCCAAATGCCCGCCAACAGGAGAACGAATAAGCAAACTGCGCCAATTCATGCCATGAAATATGGTGGCATTTACAATGACAAAACCAGCCTACGGAGGAGAGGAGCCACACGTGTGAATCTCAAGAATATCTTGTCCAGCAAAAGAAGTCAGACAGCAGAAACGTTTTATGTCTTGACGGAGGTGTTGGGTGTTCACAGGTGGATGTTTGTCAAAATTCATCCAGCTGTACATTTAAGATCTGGTCATTTTACTGACTGTGAATCACACCTCAATAAAATCAGTTAATTACAAAGCAAACAAGCAAACGTAAGCTGCTGGAGGGAAAAGCACCAACCATCAGGTGGACTCAGGGAAAACCCTAGACCTGGTGAAAACAGACTTCCAGATTTAAGGTGAAATACAGACATTTCCAGACAAATAGCAACAGACAGCCTCTTCAGCAGACCAGCCTTGTTAAGGTAGAGTAAGAGGATATTAGAGAAACATGAGCCCAGACGGAAGGGAGGAAATGCGTGAAGGAGTGAAAGACCCGGGACAGAACTTGACAAAACCACTCGAGAGTTCTCATGGAAAACTCAGCAGGGAGTGGAAGCCCCCGGAAACGCCTCCGCACCCCGGTCACCAGCCACCAGCTCCCTAGTCGCCTCCAACCAGTTTTTCAACAGCCGTTCTGTGCGTCCGCCTTAAACATTTTGGGATGCTCCCTTTTATTACGCCGTTTTGGTAAGTGCGCCCCAGCGACTGCAGCCCTGGGTGCTGCTTTGGGAGGATGCCAGCGGCCTCTTCTCTGGGCCGTGTGGCTTCACACACAGGAGAAACTGAGTCAGCACCTGAAAGCTGCATGCACACCTGCATCTGGCCCAGGCCCAGAACGAGAGACCCACGGCCGGCCGGCCGCAGACTTCTCTGCCCGCCGGGCCCTCCCCACACTGCCTACAGCCTCAGCAGCCCCCTGTGCCCCCTGCACCCCCCCTTCCGACAGCTGGAGCCTGACCCTCCCTTACGCAGAAACCGCGAGGGGGCCCAGCTCCCTCACAGAATCAGGTGCAAAGTCCAAGCTTGTCACTCACTGTCCTCTGCCGGGAATTCCCCCAGCATCTCTCCTGCTGTTGTGGCCTGAATGTGTCCCCCCAAGTTCATGCAGAGATCCCAAGTCCCAAAGGGACAGCGTCAGGAGGTGGGGACCTCCTGAATGGGATCAGTGCCCTGAGAAGGGGCTAAAGAGGCCTGAGTTCTCTTCTCCCGCCATCTGACCCCACTCTCTGGGTGTGGGTGCTCCCCAGGTAATGCAGAGGGCCATCCTGGGCCTCTCTGTATGGGTTCCCACCACGTGTGCCCAGGGGATCAGTACTCCTGGCCGCCTGCCTCTTCCAAGGGCTGCCAGTTCCTTGGGCATGGGGTCCACGTCTTCCTCCAAAATATTTTCTGCCGTGGCCCCCTGAATCACCTTTCTAGGAGAAATCTCACCATACGACTTCTCTGCTTAAAACCATCCCCAAGCGAAATTTTAGAGAAATAGGACCTGTCACACACGTGGATTCACACCCCGTGTGGCCTTCTGTGTCTGGTTCCCTCCCTGAGCATTGTGGGCTCGGGGTCCCTCCCCAGGGCAGCCCCTGTTCGTGGCTGAGTGATATTCCATCATGTGTGTGGAGTAACGTTTTTAAGCAAACGCTTTTTACAAGAAAAGGAAGAAAAAGAAATACCTCCTCTTGCTGCTGTTGAAACCCAAGCCAATGCTGTTTTCCCAGTAAGAACTAAAACCAGTGAACGGCTTGCCAGACTTAGAGCGTGACGTGGAAGACTCGTGTTTCTGGCGGGTGGGCAGGAACACGAGGGCTAGCCTGCATGCGGTGCTGGGCGATGGCGTGCAGACCCAGTCCTGGGCACGTGCCCTGGCTCTCCGAGCCCCAGCTTTCTCACCTGTAAGACACGGAGCTGGAGAAGTATCTGATTTGTTACATAGGTACGTAAAGATGGGGGGCGCAGTCGGTTAAGCGTCCAACTCTCAGTTTCGGCTCAGGTCATGATGTCAGGGTCATGAGATCGAGCCCTGTGGGCTCTGTGCTCAGCGGGGAGTCTGCTTGGGATTCTCTCTCTCTCTCCCTCTGCCCCTACACCCCCCTACAATATATAAATAAATCTTTTTTTTTTTTTAAAGATTTTATTTATTTATTTGAGAGAGAGAGCACATGAGAGGGGGGAGGGTCAGAGGGAGAAGCAGACTCCCCGCCGAGCAGGGAGCCCGATGCGGGACTCGATCCTGGGACTCCAGGATCACGACCCGAGCCGAAGGCAGTCGCTTAACCGACTGAGCCACCCAGGCGCCCTCTCTCTTTCTTTTTAAAAAAAGATTTATTTATTTGTTTGGGAGAGAGAGAGCACGAGCAAACACACCGCAAACACACCGAGGGAGAAGGAGAAGCAGACTCCCCGCTGAGCAGGGAGCCCGATGCGGGACTCGATCCCGGGACTCCAGGATCACGACCCGAGCCGAAGGCAGTCGCTTAACCGACTGAGCCACCCAGGCGCCCTATATAAATAAATCTTAAAAAAAAAAAAAAAAGATGGTGCAGCAGCTTCATCCTGTGTAAGCCACGCACACGGGAAGCTCAGTCTGATGACTTTACGCACGCCTGTGAAACCATCGCCAGCCCAAGATCACGGACGTATCCCTCACCTCCCAAGGCTCTGAGCTTCCCAGCTTCTCTTGCTGCTCAGAAGCCGAGCGCTTTCTGGTCATTCTGACCTCACCTTGTGGATGAGGCATCGGAGGCCTGGAGACGGGCAGACGTTTGTTCAAAGTCACCCCCCCAGCAAGTTGCAGAAACGGCAGTCAAGAGTACTAGCAGTCCCTGTCATTCATCAGGGCCATGATGTCCGGCACCACGAAGGAATTACTGTGCCCATTCTCACGTTTGCAAACTGAGGCTCAAAGATGTGTGCACGTTAATAACCTTCCCGAGACCACATGCTGGTGGAGGTTGGACCAGGGTTCGAATGTAATTCCCAAACCAGGACTCGTGGGGAGACGAGCCCCGGGGGCCTCCTGGCCACATCCCGCCGCATTGCCCTGTCCCCCTCCGTGCCGACTCCCCGTGGACAGAGGCAAGCTTCGAGGTCAGGGCTGGCGTGGACTTTGTATCCTCCACGGCCCGTGTACTTGGCAGAGGGCTTAGGGAGTGGGGTCTACGGCGCTCCTGGGTCTGAGGGTTTACGGTTCCAGGGCTCTCAACACCCACACCGGTCCCAGGAGCCTCAGGGCCACTTCTTCCTTTGGGGAAGGCCTGGCTGCTGTGTCTGCTGCAGACTTCGGGGGCCCTGGGGCGCTGGGGGCTCCGAGAGAACCCCGAGTAAGCGTCAGTGACAAAGGCCTTAGCTGTGTGCTTCCTGTCCAGCAGCGTGTAGGCGAAGCTGGGACTCCGAGTCCTGGGAATGTTTTCCCACGGACGAGAGCACCCCTCCCTGCCACCTTCCCACAGCGTGGCCCATGTGAGTCCGAGAAACCCGTGTGTTCCCTGGAAGGCATGTCACCTCGGCACCCCGTGGAGGACCCCCGGGAGGGCTTCCCGGGATCATATTTCTGTCTCCTCGGCCCTCCCCTGATGGGACTCAGTGAGTCGGACGGAGTAACGGCGCTCGAGCTCAGCTCAGGCCCAGACGCAGCGGGCTCTGAGCGGTCATTCAGACCCTGCGTCGCGCCAGGGTGCTTAGCATGACAGCGTCTGGAGCGCCCCCAGGGGGACGCACGGCAAGCAGACGCCCGAGACCCCCCTGGGGGTGCGCAGGCTGAAACTCGGCGTGGTGGCGTGCAAAGCCAAGGTGCACACGGGGCCCTGCGGGGATCCCGGGGCTAAAGCGGGTCTGCTCCCTGCCTTCCCGGCACACGCCCTGGGCTGCGGTCCCCACCCCACCCCGGGAGCTGATGCAGCCTCTCTGTTCCGCCCGGGGTGCCGACTCCATCCCCGGAGGTGTTTTCCAGCTTCACAGGAAGCAATGACAGCCAGACAAAAATGCCCGCGACCCCTCGGAATTCCACACATAGCTCTCATAGCTGGGGAGGGCGCCACTCCGGGCCACTCCGGGAGCCCGCACCCCAGCGGCCTGCGCCGGCTCCTTACGAGAAGAGGAAGAGTGCCCTGCCGGTGGAGGCTTCCAAAAGTTGGCGGGCTGGGATGCGTAGCAGGAAAAGAATGTGAAAAATGTGCCTGGCGGGGCGGCGGCCAGGAGGGAAGGGCCTTCGAGGAGCGGCTCGCGGGCCCAGGGTGCTGGTGGCCTGAAGGCGGTGTGGCTGAGGACCCCTCCTGGCAGCACCAGCCCCCCCCCCGCTGTTAAAAGGAGGGAGGTCAGGGATGAGGTCTGGGCTGCGGGGAACCGTGTTTCTGCACCCAGGGGGCTCGGGCTTCTGAGAGCCGGGGGGAGGCGGCTGGGGGGTTTCGTGTGGGCAGTTCCAGGCTCCGAATGTTCCCTGACAGCCCTGGGGCCCCTCGGGGAGGCCCACTCACATCTCTTCGGCAAGGTGCGAACTCACCAGGCCCAGGGCTGCAGAGGCGGGCCTGAGACTAACTCCCACGTGGGGAAGCAAGGCCAGGGCTGATGGCACCTGAAATGAGGTGAGCGGGGCTCCGGAGTCGGTCCTTCCAGGAACCCACCGCTCAACCATCCCGTGTCTCCCACACAGACACGTCTTCAGGAAGCGGCAGGAGCATCAACGAGACCCAGCCTCCGGCCCCGGGAGCCCCAGGGCAGCCCTCCTCAGGGCCAGGGTATGCGTGCCTGTCGGAGATGAAACAGGTGTGGGGGGCTTCCCTCTACGATGACCCCCAGTGACTGCGTACGATCCCCTGGCCTTGAGTGTGGGTGGGACCTGAGTAGAGGAGCCAAGCTCGCTCCAGGGAAAGACTCTGCCATGTGGCAGCAGCTTTAAGGCGGGGAGACTGCCCTTGGTGGGCCTGATAGAATCAGGGGAGCCCCTAAAAGGGTGGAGAAACTATCTGAAGCTTGGAAGGGATTTGGTGCAGAGAGATCCCTGCTGCCGGCTCTGAAGATGGGGGGCTGGGGCATGGAATGGGGGCGGCCGCTAGGAGCTGACAGCCAGCAAGGGAGTGGGGACCCCCATCCTGCAGTTGCAAGGGGCGGAATTCTGGAGCAATCTGAACGGGCCCAGAGACCTCAAGCTCCAGAGGAGACATTCTGACTTCGGCCTGGTGAGACCCCGAGCCGGGAAACCAGCCACGCCATGCCCGACCTCTGACCTCCAGACCTGCGAGCCAGCTCCTTTGGGACAGTTTGTCACACAGAGCAGAGCTGGCCCACAGGCCAGGGCGAGGCCGGAACAGGGTCCCCGGACTGGGGCCGGCTTCGCTCTAGCACTCTCTGTGCAGGACGTGGGTCCACAGCCCGGGATGGTCCCAGCTGGCCTTCGCTCTCACCGCTGAGTGTGGACACTAAGCTCAGCGTGCTGCGTTCACGACTCCTGCCATTCTCCTCCTTCCCTGCCCAGAGATGTGGGCACGGCATCCGAACCAGCGTGGTGCCCCGCAGTGCTCCGTTAGTGGCCGCAGCCAGCCCTGGGGCTCCGGTAGGCTGCGGCGCGAGGGCGCGTGCAGGTCACCTCCGGCCGCACGGCCTCGCGACGCCCAGCTCGGACAGCCCGGCTGCTCCTCTCCAGCCCCCTCACGGGGCCGCCGGGCTCGTGGGGCCGGGACCGGGAGTCAGAGCCCCTGGAAGTTTGGCTGGAAGGGGGTGGGGGCCCTTGGGGCTGCAGAGGCTGGGAGGGCAGGGGGCAGACGCACAGCGACCCCTCGTCTTCAGGGAGAACAGAAATAGCCTCCAGTTTGCTTTAAAACTTCCAGAACCAGCAACTGTGCAGCTCAGAGCTTCTGAATCTGTGTCTCCCGGGGACAAGAGGGAGACGCCCGCCCCTGCCAGCCATCACTTGGGAAGAAAAAACCCAAACCCAAGAAACACTAAGGGGCAGCCGGATTCTAGGGGGGCGGGGGGCACAGTGCTGGGGGGGGAATGCAGCCCCCACCCCCCTCCGCCGGGGAGGACTGCTCCTGGGTACACGGCGTGCGGAAGGAGAGACAGGGTGTTGATGTCGACAGAGGAAAAAATCCCAAAGCAAACAGAGGGAGACAGAAGAGGGGGCGAGGAAGCTCCGAGGTGCCGGCCCAAGAAGCCGCCCCCTCACAGGGCCTGTGGGTGGCACAGTCACTTAGATCAGCGCCCGCGGTGCGTGAGGCCCTGGCCCCGCACGCCTCCAGGGGTAGCCTTCGCACTGTAGTGCTGTCGTGAGACCCCCTGGAACAGGGACCCTCACCCAGGGGGACCGCGCCCCCAGGGGACACTGGGAGGTGCCCGGGGACGTCTGTGGTCCTCACGACTAGGGGTGCTCCTGGCACCGAGGGGGGGGCCAGGGATGCTGCTGACCCCCCCTGCAGCGCCAGGGATGCCCCCGGCGGAGAGGACCTGCCCAGATTGTCAGCAGCGTTGGGGGCAGCCGGGGGAGACCCTGTGCCAGACTCCAGAGAAACGTGCACACGGCGAGGACAGCACAGCCTGGACACAGGCCAGAAAGTCAGAGGGAGGGGCAAGTGCCTCCCTGTGTCCCCAGAAGCTGGGCTGGGGTCACGCCACAGTGGGGACCTCCGAAGAGCCCCGGGAGCCATGTTGGCATTTGAACTTCAATACTAGGCAGACACAAAACCTCTTTAACCCCCAACCCTGGCCTCCGCCACCCACCTCTGAAGCCCGTCCGAGGTTCCAAGCACTGGGTCCCCCACCCCCCTCCCGCGGCCTCTCCGGGGTCACAGTCACCCTGGCCTGGTGTGGGGCGGGCCGGCCACGTGAGGGCCTCCTCTGAGCCTTTGTGCATCCGTGACCTTTTGGTGGGGTGGGGGGCAGGGAAGCTCCAGTTGGGATTTTGCCAGGTGGATGTTTCCCAAGAGAAGCCACGGACCCCTTGGAAAACAGCGTCTCGTGACTCCCCTGTCAGCCTGGTCCTTTTGTGCGCGGGCTAAATCGGTCCCCCGGGCGGCTATATTTAGAAAGGGCTGGGGACTCGGGAATGAATGAGGTGCCCACAGGCGAGGGAAAAACAGCGCTGCAGGGCACACGGTGCTGCCGGGGGCTGAGAGCGCAGCGCCCAAGAATGAGCCGGCTTGTGGGCGCGGGTGGTGACCAAGGGTGACGATGTGGCTGATGCGGGAGCAGAAGAGAAGGCTCCCTCTGTCACCGGGCGATGACTGCAGTCATGTGAGGGTTTGCAAGCCCGATGGCTGGGCCGGGACACTGAGCACTCCTGCCCTTGGCCTCTGAGCACTGAGGAAGCGCCGTCACCCAGGCCCCGTGAGGGGCAGGAAGGCCGGGGGTGGGGGGAGGGCAGACGCAGCCTTCCCACCTTGGTTCGGGCAGGTCCTTCCCCCCAACCCCCCACGCGCGGACGAACTCCTACATCCCCCACAAAGCCCTGGGAACATCATCCCCTCTGAGAAGGTGCCCAGCCAGTCTGCGCAAGAACCCTTCTTGGGGTGTCCTCAGCTCCGTGGACGCTCCCTGGGCCCTTTATGCATTCCCTGTGGTCACTGTCACAAATGACCACCAACTTGGTGGCTTCAGACCTCACACATATATTCTCTGACCATTTTGGGGGTCAGAAATCTGACATGAGCCTCCCGGGGCTAAAACCCCGGCGCGGGCAGGGCTGGTCCCCCCGGGGCCCCCGGGAGACCCGGCTCCGGCCTCTTCCTGGCCCGCGGCCCCCCCTCCATCCTCACCGCCAGCAGCGCGGGGTCTGCCCGTCTCTGGGACTCCCACCCTCTGCCTCCCCCTCGTGAGGACGCCGGGCGCCCCGGGAACCCAGGGTCACCCCCTCCTCGGGGGCCGTGACTTGCTCGCCCCTGCAAGTTGCCCTCTGCGTGGCAGGCATCTATTCACAGGTTCCAGGGGCCAAGATGGGGGCTCCTGGGCACCTCGACTCCTCTCTGCTCTGCAGAAGGGGGGCACATGCGCAGGAGGACGGGCCTCAGACCTGGACCGTCAGTGGCAGCTCCTTGCTCTCGGACGCTGGGTCGCTGGCCAACACCCAGCCCCTGAAGGCTGCGCACCGCATCACAGAGCATCTGTGAAGTCCCCAGGGATGTCCCACTCCACCTCTGCTGTGGCTGGAAAGTCCGGGGACAAAGCAGACGCAGAGGGGCTCTTCCTAAGGGCTGTCACTGGGGGCATTTTGCATGTTAACAAGGAAGAACAACAGAAACAAACAGCCCATAGTGGGACTGACTGAATAGTTTCAGACTTTCCTGGTGTGGGGGGCGCGGAGTCTACAGTGGGGTCTTGCTGGGGTGACTCTGTGGTCATCACAAGTGGGGGGCTCCTGGCATTGAGGGGTGGGGCCAGGCATGCTGCTCAGCCCCCACAGTGCCCGGAATGCCCCGCAGGGAGGGCCCCAGCCCAGGGTCCGCGGTGCCGGCGAGGAGACCTGGTCTAGGGATATCCAACCCCACAAGGCAGCTTTCCCATGAAATCTGTGTTCGGTGTTGGTCCCTCCGGGGTCAGAGGAGAAGGCCAGCTCCCAGTACCTGCTCCTGGTGCACTCCCCATGAATCCTTGGTGTCCAGGCGGGTCAGAACTCCTGAGGGGCCCCAGATGCCCCCGCGGTGCAGACAGGAGGGTCTGGGGGGGCCTTTCTCTGCACTACAGCAAAGCATCAGGATGTCTGCATGGAACCCCCCACCTGAGTGCTAACCCACGTGGGTCTGGATGGACGTGTGACCCCGTAAACAGAGTAAAGGGACAGAGAAGTGAGAGGCCCAGCCCGGGAGGCCAGCTCCGGCCAGTGCAGGCAAGGGGAGGGCTTGGCAAGGCCTCAGCCACGGGGCGGCTGGGCCGCACGCTCGTCGGGGGCGTGGACAGGGAGCAAAGGACCTGCGTCAGCCACGTGGTGCTAAGAGTGGGGTTTTGCTGTCTCTTACGAAACCTTCCAGAGAAGGACACCGCCGCAGGAGCCGTGGGCCCCAGCGACTGGGAGGGAGGCATCTCGGTGCCTGGGTGCCCATGGGTGGCCATGGCCGGCCGTGGGGTGCCGGGTGCCAGCGCTGGGTTTGTGGGAAACCTCTTCTGGGAGTGAGTTCATCTCCACTCCAGTGGCCTCTGCCCCAAGATGAGGTTTCGATGACCCGCGTGGAATTTCTAACAATGAGATCGAGTGTCTGGTTCTGCTCACGCTGACATCCCCTTTCTCAACCGTCCAAATTCCATTACGCCTTTTCTTGTTACTGCAGGAAGGCAGCCAAGCCCGGGGCTGCCCAGGGAGTGCCGAGTCTCCTGTGACTCTGGCTGGGAGGGGACGTGGCTGCCGGCGGCCTCGGTGCCCCAGCCCTTGGAGTCTCCGCAGGACCCGGGACACACAGGAAGCGGAGAACGCACAGAACGCATGAGCCTGATCTTGCGGGATCCGCACGGGACTTCCACAGATGGCGGAGACTCCTGCATTTCTGTCCCCACCCGTGAGATCTTCCTTGCTGGCGTGGCCAGGGACGGCTGTGTTTAGGAAGCCCACGCGGCAAGGAGCGGGGGGTGAGCCCCAGGAGCCGACGGCCGCCCCAGTGACCGGCAGCAGGCACCCCGATGCACAGCCCCACAGCTGCAAGGAAGTGAGCTCTGCTAGCACCCCGAGGGAGTCTCCAGGTGAGGCTGCAGGCTGACTGACACCTGGACGGTGGCCCTGTGGGACCCTGGGCAGAGGACCCAGCAGGCTGCGCCCAGATTCCTGACCCCGGAGACTGCGGGAGAACACATGGGTGGAGTTCGGGGTCATTTGTCATATGCAGCATCACTAATACTGCCGAGGGGCGTGACTGGAGATACCAGAGCAGGAACTCAGGCCTGGAGGAGGTGGTGGACGCAGCCCGATGTGGCCACCAGGACATCCCCCCACTTCATCCTGCGATGTCATGCCAACTGGGCCTTCTGCTCCTAAATGAATCTGACTCTAAAAATAATCTATACAGAATACAAAAATAATGCAAAATAATAATAAGGTCTCCCTCCTGACCCCAAGATCCCTGACGAAAATCATCGGTCTCAGAAGAAACAGCTGTGTGTCCTGTTCGGGGAGGAAGCCCACGGCCACACAGAACCGGGAGGGAGCCCAAGTGTGTCCGAGAAGGAACCAAGCCAGCGAATATGGAGATCTGCTAGTCGATCAATTCCAGGCCAAAGAGCCGTCTGCAACGAAACACTCCTCACCGGGCCGGGCTCTTGGCTGCATTCCAGAGCAAACTGCCGGGTACACCAGCGGACCTCTCTGTGACCAGCGCAGGCGCCCAATGGCCCGGGGCTCCCCGCCTCACCGGACGGCTCGCCGGCCACAGTCCTGCCTCCTCCCCTGCTGCCCCCGAGCACGGGGGCCCCGCCTGCGCCCACATGGGTCCCACGCCTGCACCGGGAGGGACACGGTCCCCTTCACGCCCGCCACGCCAAGGCAGAGACCAGGCGGAGCCAGGATCCCGCCCCGTGTCCGAACACTCACACCTGCTGTTTCAGGCGTTTGGGAAGGCCTATCGGCCATGCCCTCAGCATAGGCACGCGATGCCGGGGCGCAAGAAGGCCCTGGCCGCGATTCCAGCACTGCGACCCCTCCGCGGCACGCTGGGTCTTCCGCCTCTCTTCCCTACACCACTTCTTTTTAGCAGCTTTAGAGATGTCAGCTCAGAAACCACACCACTCACCATTTAAAATATACAATTCGACGTTTTTTGGTATATTACGTTGTCAGTTTTTAAAGTGCATACATACGGTAAGATGTATGTATAACGGCACATTTGTTTTAACCATTTTTTTCATCAAGCAGGCACCACACCCACTGTGGGGCTCGAACTTGTGACCCCGAGATCAAGAGTTGCAGGCTCGGGCGCCTGGGTGGCTCAGTCGTTAAGCGTCTGCCTTCGGCTCAGGTCATGATCCCTGGGTCCTGGGATCGAGCCCCGCATCGGGCTCCCTGCTCGGCGGGAAGCCTGCTTCTCCCTCTCCCACTCCCCCTGCTTGTGTTCCCTCTCTCGCTGTGTCTCTCTCTGTCAAATAAATAAAATCTTAAAAAAAAAAAAAAAAAAAAAGAGTTGCAGGCTCCACTGACCGCCCTCGTTTTAACCTTTTTTTTTTTTTTTTTAAGATTTTATTTATTTGAGAGAGAATGAGAGACAGAGAGCACGAGAGGGAAGAGGGTCCGAGGGAGAAGCAGACCCCCTGCTGAGCAGGGAGCCCGATGCGGGACTCGATCCTGGGACTCCAGGATCATGACCTGAGCCGAAGGCAGTCGCTTAACCACTGAGCCACCCAGGTGCCCTACATCAACTTTTTTTTAAGATCTTATTTTGAGAGAGAGAGAGTGAGCGAGAGAGCATGAGCAGGGGGAGGGGCAGAGGGAGAAGCAGACCCCCCGCTGAGCAGGGAGCCCGAGGCGGGGCTCGATCCCCAGACTCCAGGATCATGACCTGAGCCAAAGGCAGTCGCTTAACCAACTGAGCCTCCCAGGCACCCGTAAAATCTTTTATTTAAAAAAGATTTTATTCATTTGACAGAGAGAGAGAGACAGCGAGAGAAGGAACACAAGCAGGGGGAGTGGGAGAGGGAGAAGCAGGCTCCCCGCCGAGCAGGGAGCCCGATGCGGGACTCGATCCCGGGACTCCAGGATCATGACCTGAGCCGAAGGCAGTCGCCCAACCAACTGAGCCACCCAGGCGCCCTCGTTTTAACCATTTTCAAGTGTGCAGTTCAGTGGCATTAAGTATATTCACAGTGTTGTGCAACCACCACACTCCATCTAGTTCCAGAACATTCCATCACCAAAAGCAACCCCGTCTCCCTCCCTGCCAGCCCCCGGCCCCCACGAGCCCCCTTCCCATCCGCAGATGAGCCTGTTCTGTGCGTGTCACCCACGTGACTCACACCCCGCGTGGCCTTCCATGTCCGGGTCCCTCCCTGAGCGTCCCCGCCCCCATCAACGGTCACTCCCCACCTTCTCCCCCGCCCCCGCCCCCCGAGCCCCCTTCCTGTCTGTGGATGAGCCCGTTCTGTGCGTGTCACCCACGTGGACGCACACCCCGTGTGGCCTTCTGTGTCCGGTTCCCTCCCTGAGCTTCGTGGGCTCGGGGTCCGTCCCCGGGGCCGTGCGTGTGGGCGCCTGGATCCTGCTCGCGGCCGAGGGACATGGCATGCTTGGTTCATCCGTTCATCGGTTGACGGCACTTGGGTTGTTTGCACTCTCTGGATGCTGTGACCGTGGGTGCACACGTATCTGCAGGAGCGTCCAGCTGCCCCCTCGGCTCTCCTCACCGAGTACCCAGCGACCACCCCGTCCTGCCCCTCCCAGGGGCCGTGGCGATGGCCCGGGGGGCTCTGAGGGGCCGTGCAGCTGGGCAAGTGGCCGTGCAGCCTGGGAGACCAGGGGCTGGTGAGCTTTCCACGTCTGCTTGGCCGGGCCGTGGGATGGCCAGGTGTGTGGTCAAGCATTATTCCGGATGTTTCCGTGAGGCTGTTTCTGGACGAGACGGACGTGTAAACCAGGGCGCTTTGTGAAGACAGGAGGAAGATTTCTCAGGTCCACGACCTGACTTCACACTTTGAGGAAACACAAGAGAACCCCAAAGCTGGTAGGAGGAAGGAAGTGACAAGCGCAGAGTGGAGATAAACGAAACTGAGACCAGAAACACGGCGCAAGCGTCCATGAGACCCCAAGCTGGTTCTCTGAAGGGACGGACAGCGCTGCGACCCGTCTGCTGGACTGACTGGGAACAGCAGAGAGGAGGCGCACATCACAGGCGGGGGGATGAGGGTGACGTCACCACCAGCCGTCTGGAGCTGGACGGGGCTCGGGCGGGGGGCGGACACCGAGAACGACCAGCACAGGCAGCAGCCGAGCCGGCTGGACGCGCTTCCCGGACGCACACACGTGGGGCGCGCCCCGCCCCGGCTCCAGCGCCCGGGCTTGTGCGAGCTTAGATCTAGGGCCTCGCTTCATCTCTGCAACATTCTTGGGAGGCTGGGGATGTTATTTCCGTGGCAGAGATGAAAGGAATCCTCCGAACGCGACAGAGCCGGGGTCCGCATGTGGGTTTCCTGGCCGCGAGCCCCGAGCCTTTCCACGGCGACACGATGCCCCGCGTGTCATGTGCGCACCCAGCACTGTAGTTTGCTTGTTCCCTTTTTCTAAAAAACAACAGATTCCAAACTCATGAAGTAAGATAGAACGCTACATACCTTTTCCAGTTTTTCCAAAGAGCACCGCTTTGCCCCAAATGAGAAGGGGGGGAGAGAGAGAGAGAGAGAGAGAGGAGAGCAGTTCAATAGTTTTGCCTTAACCATCTCCCGCTTTTCTCAGGGATGTACTTTCCTGTTGCCAGAAATGTGGCGTGTGAGCTGGCACCGGCTGTGTCCTCCAGAGAAACTGGGGGGTCTGGAGAGTCTGCTTTACTCTCTACAACCAACCCTGTGTGGAGAGACACCTGTGTTTCCCGGGGGGGCAGGGGGGTTCGAGTGGAACTCGAACTGGAACTTCTGGAACTTCCACTATCCCATTCCAGAGCACGACAGGCCGGTCCATCGGACACACCAGTATCAGAAAAACAAAACACTCAGGGACTGAGCCTTGAAACGTAATGCTCAGTGTTTTTCCATGCCTGGTTTTCTACTTTGCTGGAAGCCACGTGCCGGGACCGAAGAGGGAGAGGTGGAAAATGCAGACTCGGGGCAAAGCAATTAACCTCGGGTGGAGGAGGTGACAGGTATATGGGCGCAGGAAGGCGCGGGATCTGAGGCTGGCTGCCGAGGGCCAGAGGGTCCACAGGAAGGCCAGGAAGTCCTGAGATCACACAGGGGTGGGCCCCGGGCACTTTGGAGCTGTTGTTTTCCAGGGAACGGGACCCCTGCTCCAGGTGGAACCCTGGACAGAGCTGAATCTCTCTCTGATACTGGACACCCATGGCAGGACAGGCGCTGGGGGCCACCGTGTCCAGCTGTCGGGTGACCCTGAGACTGAGTGCAAGCCTACACCCCGTGCTGCCCCAGCTGCCATGAGAATGCACCACTGGGGGGGGCACCCCTTTCCCGCTTCTCAGCACAGCCACGAGGGAGAGGCGAGTGTCCCGTCCAGCTGCATCACTGTGGCCAGCACTGGCCTCCTATGTGTGTCTGAGGACGCTCCAGGCTAGGGAGTCCAGGCAGATGCCTTGGTCTGGGCCCCCAAGGGGACCCCTGCAGCCGCTGAGGACCCACCACACTTTGAAAAGCCGGCAGCTAGACCCTCAAGTTTGGGGTGGGGGGAGTGGCGCTGGTCCTTGGGGCTGATTCTGCTGTGGGCTTGCCCTGGGGGCTCAACAGAAGCCCCTGCCCCCGGGCCAACACAGGCCAGGCTGTTTCTGTCTGGCTCCCAAGATCTCCCATGCTCTTGAGAGCCGGCCCCGCTTCCTTTGCAAAATTACTAGCTCTTTCCACAAACCAACAGGGTTTTTTCCACTTACACAAAGGGTCTCGCCTCTGCTGCCACGTCTGGGCCACACGAGCCTTTCTCAGCCGCCCTGGGCCCTGGGGGCTAGCATCACAGGCTGGGGCATGGCGGGCTGACATTGGGTGGAAACCTCCTAGCCCACGGCCCAGGGGGAGGTCCAGTCAAGGCTCTGGGAGGCTCCAGCGTCTCAGACGCAGGATGGAGGCAGCTGGGTGGTTTTCTCTAAAGCAGGTCTCTCCCAGGGCACTGGGGACCCCGGGGCAGACCATTCTCTGCCGGGAGTCCCGAGCACCGTGGGGTACTGGGCAGCATCCCTGGCCCCCACCCACTCCATGCCAGGAGCACTCGCTGGAGTTGAGACAACCAAAAATGTCCCCAGACGTCACCAATGTCCCCTGGGGAGCAGAATCTCCCCCAGGTGAGACCCCTGGGTCAGGGGGTTCCACTGACCCCCAGGAGACTGCGTTCTGTAACCATCTGACTCCTGAGCTCCCGCATGCTTCACACACTTCACTACACACACTGAGTGGGGGTCGCCCTGGTTTGTCCCCTCTGACGCCTGGGGGGTTACCCTGGTGTCCAGCGTGAGCAGGGGTCAGACTCCGTTGCTTTTTCAAATAATGCAGGGTCTCCCTCACGGCCTAGACGTTTAGAGCCGGGTCATTCTCTGCGGGGGCGTCCTGGGCACTGTGGGGGCTGAGCAGCACCCCCAGCCCTCACCCACTAGATGCCAAGAACACCCCCCTTTGTGACGACCACAGATGTCCCCAGATACGGCCCCGTGCCCCTTGGGGGCAGAACCAGCCCTGGTGAGACCCCTGTTTTAAGGGAGGGCTGAGAGAGCCATAGTGGGGGACAGAGACTCTGCCAGCTGGGCCGGAGCAGGGTGGGGGTGGGAGGTGGCTCGGGTGGGCCCCTCCCTGAGGGCTGGGCCTCGGGCAAGTCTGCGCGGAGCTCCCATGCTGAGCCGCACTGTCTGCAGCTTCCCCTCTTTCTCAAATTTGCCTAATTGCGAAAATTCATGTGTAACCACAGTCGATTCTCCGGCGGGGCTTGGGGGGATTTCTCGGTCATCCTCGGACACGTGCAGAGCAGTGACAAATCTGTCGCTGACCCCGTTCCCAGCTGAGAGGGATGAGGCGCTCAGCTCGGGCCAGGACCCGAGGGTCCCTCTTGGTCCCGAGTGCCACAGTGTTTGCCTTCCGTGCGGCTGGTGGCCATTTGCGTCGGCCCAAGTGCAGAGCGGCGGGCCGGCT